TAAATAAGAGAACTGACATAAGTAACTTGAGCCAAATGTATCATGCTCTAATATTGCAGAACTAGGCTTTACTTTCATTTTCACATAATTGTCATGTAATATACTAATTGAACACAATTTTTTAATTAATAATATAACATAGTAAATAAATAACTAATATTAAAATAAACTGAAACACTCAATTCTTTATACCAACTACTTAAATATAGGCAACTTTCATTACACTGTTACCTCTACACTAAAATTTCCATATGAGTGTGAACCAGTCACTATTTAATAGTATAGTAATAATATTAACATTGTAATTGATTCATAGAATCCTTTACAAATTACAGATCTAAGTGCCTGAAGCTTAGACTGTTGGAAATTATCTAATTGTTATTCACTGTTGGCAAAATTTTTTTCAGCCACAATGTTTAACATAAATTTAAATATAAGAGTTTGAATAAAATTCTCCTGTTTGTTTGTTTTTAGACGGGCTAATGCGAGTAATTGTTATTGCTATATCAGTTTCCTTCATTGGATTGTCTCTTACAAGCGGCGCTGTCATCCAAAGCTCATTAACATTTAAATAAACCGCTCAATTATTTGAGGTGGTACCTCTGACCTTGCTGTTCTGTTGAAATAATTTCAACCTCAAGGTTGGCTGTCTTTTCGTGGTTCTGTGTCAGTCTGTTCAATCTAACGCCATTTTCCTGGTAGCAGGCCTGGTAGCAAGAAGTTAATCGTTGATTTTCTTAGTTCTTTGCATCATTTAAGTTATAATTTAATATATTTTTATACTTCGGACTACATGGTCACTTACTGTGCTAATTTTTTAATAAGTCACTAAATGTTGTTAGTAAATTGAATGTTTATACATTTCTACTTTATAATGTCCATTTATTCAAGTTTAATTCATAAGCTTGTTAACATCTTTGACTGCTACATGTCTTTTTAAGGTAACACCTGTAACATCTTTTCCATGATTGTGTGGTTCTTATATTATACTTTTTAGAATGAACTGATGATGCTTTCAGAATACGAAAGCTAAACGTCTTCAAAATAGATAGAGTGGCACATCAACTTTGTTTTTCATTTCTCCACCTACAAATTGACCGATATAAGAGCCTACCACTCTGTTGAGCGATCCTTTTATATATATATATACATATATATATATATATATATATATATTATATATATAATTATATATATATATTATATAGTGTTAATCACAGCTGATCAAGTTAGAAAATAAACCAAACTTTAAGACTCTTCGGGTAAAAAACAGCTGAAAGGATTAACCCATCCTGTACTCTTCTGTAGTCCTTTATTAATCCAATATTTCGTCGATATGTATTGACATCATTAGGGAAAGCTACAAATAGTTTCACATGAAAATTGACAATCTATTCTAATTAAGTTGATGTTACTTACGATTTGAGAAAGTTTTTTTCACAAAAAGAAAAACATGTAATGTAAATTTACAAAGACTGGTACAAAGACAATGCACAATTTTAACTTTACGTATAGGACAGAAAGTCCTCTCTCCAGAGTTGTATATATTTTTATTTTATTCTTAACCTGTACTACATGTCATGTAAAGTGGACACTTGTCACCATCTGACTGTATAATAAACAAACAATTTAAAAATTTAGGATAAAGCATTATATACGATATATTACGAAGCATCATTGATTTCTTTTCTTCATTCTAATTATGATTAATGCTACCAACTTTTTTTCATTAATGTATCTACGCTCATGAGAATGTTCCCTTCGCTTCTTGCATACCAAAACTTTATCTAGTAGCTGTGAATGAAAACGTCTTAAGAAATTCAATATAAATTTATGTTTCCCGCAGTCAAAATACTGATTTTTGTAGGATCCAAAAGCGATGTGTTGACAAAAATTGGAAATTGTAACAAAGCCAAATGTAAATTGGTATTATTTGTAATAGAACTTTTTATTTATGTATATAAGTTGGTTATACAAAAACGTAAATTTACAAATTTATATATAAATTTAAATTTATATAATTATATACACTCGGACAAATGAAATATTACCCATGAACGATTATATTCAATCACTTATTTTGTATTTGCTGTCTTTTTCTGTAACAAATGTTTGTTATTTATATAAAAAGTATTTTTAATTTTATTAAAGTATTTTAAAAGTATATTTATGTATTTGAATTTTTCGGCCTTACCGACGGAACGCAAAACAGATTGAGATGAGTGGCAGTGACAAGGGATTCGCTCCGTGCGTGACTGACGCGACACCTACCGCCTTCATCTGACAATTTTGGAGTCCCAATTTTCAGGTTAAACATATGACATATGTTTGACATTGTTAAATACATGCGAAATTGACAATTGTTAATAAATTAGTTTTTTAACTATATTTTTTCAGTTTATGTACAAAATAAAAGTAGTATTAAAAACTGGGTTTCTCAAAATTCATCATAATATATCTTTTTAACTCCAAACGGAAAAGAAAGGAAAAAATCTAGTACTGGCAAATCATATTTTTCACGCAAAAGAGCATATGCAGTAAGCTTGAAGGCTTATGAAATATCATTCAAGGTAAATTATTTAAATTTTTCCTATTTCAATTGCATAAAAATAAATTATGTGATATTTACTTTTTCATATTAATAGCACGAATTCATCTTTTTCTTTTCTCTAATTTATAAGTAATCTTTGGGAACCTATAAAAACTACACTTACTGTTTTTGCTATTATTAGCACGACTAAATACGCAACATGTATTTGCACACATTTTTGATAAAATTTATGCTTAAATATGTACAAATATTTTGTCAAATATTCCAATTTTGTCATATTTCGCCGCTACGCACGCTGGCATCGTTTCAATGTATCCCTACCATGGTCACGCACGGAGCGAATACATTCATTATGAAAATTATGCACAAGAAATGATCTAACCTTATTAATAGCTTTAATTGTTGTTTCTTTGTTATGTTCAGGTACGATACCTAATACTTATAAGTTTGCAAATTTTGTAGCAATAAATAAATCTTTGTTATTTTTAGAGCAACTCAATTTGGTTTTTAAAAATCTACTCCCAACTTTTCCAATTCTATAGAGCTATAAAAACCATATTACATACGTAAGGAGCTTTATTAGCTATTAAAGAACATGAGTGTGAATTATTATCAACTGGTAGATCAACAATAATTAGCAAGCAGCATATGAAAACCCTTCTACACTGAAACCTAGATTAAAAGAAAACAATTATAGAAAGGAAGTAAGGAACACAAAATTTGAGAAAAAAAAATCTGAGAAGAATTTGGCAACTAACAAGGAAATATTTAGTGGCTTAACACATGTACACCTGAGTATTAACCACATTTTGTATTAACCTTATTCAAAATTTTAAACTTCACCTTCTTTTTAATTAAAGTGGTTATATAATTTTAGGACACCCTGATGATGAAATATAGATTTTAAAGGATAGATAAAGGATTTTAAATATTTTTTGTTTGTTACATGGTATACAGCCATCTAAAAGTTAGTTTAGTTGTAAGTCCTTTTAAATAAAATAAGTGCAAGATCAATAACGCGTATTCCCCCGTCTAGCTCTTAGTACTGCTTGTATCCTTCTCACCATACTTGCAAGTAAATGTTAGACATATCCTTGGGGAATTGCATTCCATTTATCCTGTGCAACCAGTCGAAGTTGCCCTATCGTATTTGGAATGGGATTTTTTTGTCGTATGTAGCATTTTAGCTAATTTGCTTGGTAGCCAATCCAATCTTCGAATTTGGACCTCATCAAGATCATTACTCACTACGGCAGAGGCATGTGGTCGAGCATTTTGGTGCATTAACATAAATCTGTCATTTAATGTAACCGACATATAAGAAAACATGATCTTAAGGGATGTTTTAAACGTGAGTCACCAATTATTCGTCCATTTACTTCCACAGGTGCAGTTCTTCCCAACTAATAACTATCCAAAGCTTTATACCACCACCTCCAAAACTAACGGTCTGGGCGAGATTGCAGTTCGCGAATTGTTCTTCAATTCTTCTGTAGACATGGTTTCGATCTTCCTTCTATAATAGGATATCGGCCCATCGAGCAAAAAGACAAAAGAGGGAATGTAAAGGTAGTGGGGGCAAACATATTGTTAGACAGGCAAGTGCGATCTTTAGAGGCCACATTACAAAGGAAAGAGAGTCTCTCTCCTTGTTTGAAATCAAATTTAATTGGGTTATGTTATTGTTTGTCCCAAATGCCACATGAAATCTTATTTATATTGAAGTTTTTTAACAATTGTGTCGCATTTTAGACGACTCTTATCATTATTAATTAATTAAAACTTTCTCGTCTAAGACACATTCTGAAAAATATTACATAGCTACTGTTAATAAGTGTCGGAAAATTTAAATTTGGCGCATTCGCATTTCCGGATATGTCCGCCATCAGAGGCCACTTTTTTGGTCTCCTTTTCATAAGAATTACATTCCCTCTTTTGTCTTATTGCTCGATGTATCGGCCACATCAGTAAGAAGAACATTTTTCTAGTTATTGATATCTCACTGAATATGTGTTGTTGCAAATTCTAAACAACCAAATTTATCATTTTGGGGAAGACGTAGAGCTTTGGCAGGACGTATAGAATTAATAGAACTTTTTATTGATGTATATAAGTTGGTTATACAAAAACAAAAAATTTACAAATTTATATATAGATATAGCTTTTTCTGAAGACGTAGAGCTTTGGCAGGACATGTAGGCTTTGAGTTTGCTTCTTTTCATCTTCGTCTGTTTTTGAATTTACATTAACTTGGTTAACATTTAGTAGCACACTCCTGAGGTGCTTCTGTATCAATGACTACATCATTATACTATACGAGTAAAATCAGTATACTTAAACTATTTTGAAATAATAGTAACTAAAAAAAATTGTAAAATTATAAAATATTCAATATTTTTGTTTATGAGTGTATGTCGATAATATTTTAAAAACATAATTATCTTCTTACCTGGATAAAAGTAGAGTTTAGTAGCCGCATTTCCCTATTAAATTGACTTTTGAACATACTCCTAATAATCTCCTTCACCGATACATCCTCAGTATCCACAATTCTAAAGGCAGTCATATTTACAAAGTTGTACTTATAATCTTCTAAATCAAATGTCTCCATATCGAAAGTGGTAAAGAGGTAATGGTATTTATAATCATTCATTTGTAGTTGTAAAATCTACAATTACACTAATATAGAAATGTGGATAACTATAAAATAATTTTAATTATTCAGTGGTTGCACAAATTAACTAAATATAAACATAAATTCTAAATATAATTAGCAATCCCCACAGAGTGCAATTTAAAGCGAAAGTACTGCTCATTTTGTTCTCATAAACTTGCAACCGGTGTATTCAATCCCCCACTTACTAACAAACGACTCAGGGCGGATGACTTGGTGAGTGGTAAGGCATTCTTTTGTCCCGAGGTTGAAAAATCAGCCCTGAAGGCAGTTGAATCAACAAATAATGATTAAGAGCATAAGAATGCAGAAGACAAAGGGGAACCACAGCGTTAACGGCTCATAGAGCACATTCAGGAAAATCACTTTAGAATTGATTTTCATCAATCATAAAAATAAAAAAAATCTAATTTTAGAATATGTACATGGAATGTTAGAAGTCTATTTACGGCTAGAAAACTTGACAACGCAATTTAAGAAATGAGAAGAATGAAAGAAGACCTACTGGGAATCAGGGAAATGAGATGGCCAGAATCAGGATGATGTAAAAAGGACGAAAGTGTATTATATTATTCTGGTAACAGCACAGAAGACGCGTACCACAAAAATGGTGTAGGTATATTAGTAACGTCAGAAATATGTGACCAATTTCGTACCACTCTTGGATAGAATATTATTACTCCAAATAAATACTCAACCATTTAAAACTAACATACTTTAAATCTATGCCCTAACTGCAGATAGAAAATATAATCCAAGACATCTTACAGAAACTTAAGAATCTTACGAAATTTTATATATTATAGGCGACTTCAATGCAAAAATTGGGGAAGATCGACGAGGTTAGACTGTAGGTCATTATGGTCTTGGACAACCTAATGATCGAGGACAGAGATGGTATGAATTTTGTAAAGAAAACGATATGATCATTGCAAAAACCTGCGTATAAACTACCCAAGCGACGACTACTATACACTATATACTTGTAAATGAGTGTTTCCGAAATGCCGTCAAAAAAGTCACTACATTTCTCCTGGGGCAGATATCGGATCTGATCATCAACTATTTGTAGCAGATATTAAACTAAGGTTAAACGAATTTAGCATGTACCACATGGGGTATTACTATAAGGGATAGAAAATTGGGGACTGAAACTATAGAGGTGAAGATAGGCCAAGCAAAATAAAACGATACTTTTGCTAACGGCAGCTGTGACCTTTCGTCATAGCCTTTTTTATAGATACATATCAAATTAAATATTATTTATTTATGCATTTAAATTATGTATTCTTGTGAAAGCAACTATTGAACGTTAATATTTCCTATTATTGATTTGTTTTTTACGTTTACTATATAAAAGCATTGAAAAATTCAGCAGCAGTTTTTGTTGGTTTATCTTTTCGAAAATGTATAAGAAAAAATTTATAGGCTAAAATACATTTTTTTACATTTAAGTTAAAAAAAAAATCAAAATCAGCTGTGCATCTTGAAGAAGTCGATTATTCTTTTACAGATAGATTGGGGTATTATAGTGTATTTTTATGTATGAGAGAGTAATAAAAACAATAAATTATGTATGCAAATCCCTAAACTGTTGATACGGGTGACTCAATGAAAAACAGATATTTGTCAACAAGTTTACAGAAGTATATAGGAAAACAATCTTTAAATTGAGTATGACCACCAGGTATAAAGGTTGGAGCAGAATAGAATACAATAGTTGTGAGGGTTACTAATCCCTAAATAAGGTTTGCCAGTGTCGGAGTGATGGAGGTTAACAGGTACTAATGAATTTGCAAGAAATGTAAGATGTTTATTTTATTGGTTATATATATATATATATAACCCATAAAAGTTTAATAAGTACCTACCTATTTGCAAAATAAAGTTTAATTCTTTATATAAAAATAAAACGTTTTATTTTATCTGAAATGAGTGCATTCCACGAAGTAAGGGTTTCAACAATCAAACATTTAATTCTTTAATTCCAGGAATCTACGACAGTAATTGGCTAGATAATTACCTTCTAAACTTATTCCACAGAAAATGTGATAGTAGGTTTTTCCATTTTGTAGGAAGGTCCAAGTGGCGTATTCAAAATTCTTAACAGTTCACTAAAAGTAGATACTTCAGTTGCAAGGTGCAGTTTATTGTGTATACTAGTGTTATGGAAAATTTGGAAGTGCTGTGTAAACGCCGAAAAATTGGTCTTTTAACAGTTAATGAAAAAACATTAATATTTAATTGTTTTAAATCATTTACCGACAAACGTTTATGTGAAAGTGTTGATGAGACCGTTGAGTTAGTTAGCAGTACACTTGGTGTTGGGAATCTACGATTTACAGAGTTATTAAAGAAGAGAAATGTGGTAGTTTTCAAATGCCACGTAATGCTTCAGGGAAAACCAAAATTTCAAATAGAATATCATTTTAAAGAAGGACTTCGACGGAAAGTGCATGAATTCTTCTTTAGACAAGAATTTCCAACATTGGATAAAGTTCTTGTCTCAGTTCGAGATGATAAGGTTTACCCAGAAATGAGTCGAAGTACGTTATGGAAACTTATAAAAGAAATAGGCTTCAACTGGAAAAAGAATCAAAGAAAGTCTATTTTATTAGAAAGAAGCGATATTGTCATATGGAGAAGACATTTTCTATGAACCATAAAGGAAATGAGAAACCAAAAAAGAAAAATATTTTATCTTGATGAAACATGGATCAACGACGGTTATACACCAAATAAATTTTGGCAGGATGAAACTGTTACAAGTCAAAGGCACGCTTTTGTAAATAACTTATCTACTGGTTTAAACCCACTATCAGGAAAGGGACGCAGGCTGATAATAGTACACATTGGCAGTTCAGACGGTTTTGTTGAAGGTGGTTTATTAACTTTTGAATCAACTCGTACCGGTGACTACCATGAAGACATGAACGCTGATGTCTTTCAAGAATGGGTTCGAACAAATGATAGATCTTCTTCCTAAGAACTGTGTAATAGTAATGGATAATGCAAGTTATCACTCCAGACTTATAGAAGGACTGCCCACAACCAAGTGGTTAAAAAAAGACTTGCAGAATTGGCTGAGTTCAAAAAATATTACGTACCATCCCGGATCTATAAGAAAGGAACTTTATTCATTGTGTGCCCTTCATAAAGAAAAATTTAAAAAATACGAAATTGATGAAATTGCCAAAAATCGTGGAATGACAGTACTTAGATCCCCACCATATCATTGTGAATTAAACCCGATTGAACTGGTATGGGCACAGATAAAGAGTGAAGTTTCAAGAAAAAATACCACTTTTAAAATTCATGATGTTAAACAGTTGTTTTTGGAGGCCGTAAATAATGGTAAAGCTGAAAACTGGGAAAAGGCAGTAAATCGCACTATTAAAGAAGAGGAAAAAATGTGGAAGCTGGACAATATTACTGATAAAATGATCGAGCCAGTTATTATAAATCTTGGTTCTGAAACTTCATCTTCTGAATCTGATTTGGATTTGTAACAAGTAGGTGTAAGTTTTATATTAATATTTTTATTCATCTATTTAACATACCTTAGACGGTTTTAAAAACTCTTTTTCTCTTTTGTAATTTTTAAAAATTAAAAAAAATGTGAATTTTTTTAAAACCCTTTTTAATGTAGGCCCAGTCAGTTCTAATATAGTGTGTGACAAAAGAGGTCACTTTTGTTTACATACACATAACACTTTATAACACTGAAATAATTCATTTATTTTTTACAATTATTCAAAGTAATTTTTCAATTAATCTTGAGCACGCCCATGAAGTGGTCGAAGGTACCAGTTAAAATTATGCTAATTACTCTCTCGTTCATAAAAATAAACTATAGTTATATAATATATTATTTAGTTTAACATGAACACCACTGAATAAAAATTGCTGAATACTACAGAAAAATATTGACTTACTCCTTTTAAAAAATGTTGTAAATTTGAAGGCTTCGTATCGACAACAAGATTATGTATCTCCTTATTTTTAATTTCCTTGAGAACGTCCTGATATGACTCCGGACTCGCCTGCCGTAGGTGAATCTCAAGCCCCCCATTTTGAGGAGATCTCACCAACTCCCGGAGCTTCAATAGGCCTGAAATGTTTTTTCGTAGTTTGATATTGTGCTTTTATACTAAATTTTAAATCGTTTATTAAAATATCAATTTACCGCATAAATATGATTTTTTATTATGTTTTTATTAATTATATTTTTATATTATTAAACAGTGATCTTTTATGGGTTTGTGGATACAGCTTTCTGATTTTGTAAAACACTGCACTTTTTTTTTGAATATTTTTCAAATTAACTGTTCATATTTGATAAAAAACTTATTAGCCTTTTACGGAGACAAAATAAACAATGTTCTATCAATGTGGTTTATTTAGATTTGAAACACTCTATACATAAATAGCTATATATTTCTAGCTAGAAATCAATAGACGGTACTGAATACGTAGCATGTACTGAAAAGCCATGATCTCAGAAAATACTCAGGCCGTTATCTTTAAAAAGAGAAGAGATAGCCCAGAAGAACAACTAGCAGTACAAGGCCGACACATCGATAGCAGACTGTGTTTCAACGAAAATTTGACCCCCCCCCCCTTCCCAGAAACTCAGAAACCCAGAGTTTTTTCAAATTTTTTCAAGGTTTAAGACAACACAAAGAAGAAGAAATATATTTCATAGTTATTCTGTAAATTAAGAAAAAAAAATAAAGTGTCGTAGGGAAAAAAACCTTTTACATGATGTGCCACTCGACCACACTTACTATTCTCTCACCCAATAAATATTGACGTTTTTTTTTAATTTCAAAAACCTCTTGGTTTCTGAGTTTCTAAGGGAGTCTAATTTTCGTTGGAATACACTGTATAGTTTACGTTAAAATTAAACACTTCTGAACCCTCTAAGGTAACACCATCATTTAAGTAAAATTAAAATATTCCTTAATACTCCCCTAAAAAATGCCACTCGTTTTAAATAATTGGTTTTCATTTAGCATTTTATAAAAAATTATTATTTTTTTGGACAAATTTGTTATAATTGTAATTGATTTATTAAACAATTTATTCATATGATTCAAAAACAGTCAGTTTACGACTTATAAATAGTAGACAGCAAGGATGATCAGCATGACTAGACAAAAAGGCCCCGTCAACTCCTGTTTGCCAAAGGACACATAGATAGTAATTACCACGACCGTTGTGCCACAAAGAGAATTGGACATTGTAAAACTGGAAGTAATTGACTATACAATACAGTTGACTTTTGATATTTGGAGAATATCCAAAATACACTCATAAAAATATACGATAATAATTCTGTTGTGCTAGAAGCAGGTCAAGTAAACAATAACAAATAGAAAGCTATATAGGGTTACCTTTATATAATATAATTATATATCTAATATATAGTATATATATATATATATATAATATGTATATAATATATATATTACGTTGTACTTATAATGTTATCACATATTGTTAAAAAACATGATTTGTTCTTTAAATAGATGAATATTTAAAAAAATTAAACCCACAACGAAGCTTATAAGCCATCTAAAACTATACAAGACAAGTGTTACCAAATTTCAAAAGACAGCTACTGGTTTCATCTATCGCAAGCATGCTTCCGGAACATTTAAAATCTCAACCTTGTACCTGATTATAAGAACGAAAACAGTAAAGCTAGAAAATGGTTGCACTACAGATTTGCTTAACAATTTTTAAATCTATCGGAAGTAGACAACTGTTTTGCTTTTAATTTTTCCGAAGTATAACCTGAAAACGAACGTTTATTATAGCTTTCAGATTATTTACTGACCAATTACATTTCCAAAGATTCCGTTTTCTACCCATTAAACTTTTCAGTAATTAGTATTTCCACTACCAGAGAAAAACCCAGTACCTTCTGCTCGATTACATATACAGCTTTCAGAACAAATAACAACTTAAGCAAATATATTAAAAACAACAAGAGCCAAAATAAAAAACACTTACACAGTGGTATGTACAAACTTAAATGTGGCGACTGCCCAAAAACTTATATCGGTCAAACTGGCAGAAATTTTAATAAACGAATAGTAGAACATAAAAGAGCTATCAATAATAGAAAAAGCAATTCTACATACGCACTTCACCTTCTAGATCATAATTATTCTTTTAATAACGAATTTAAAATTCTTCACATTCAAAATGAAGGCCTTAAGCTTTCTTTGTTAGAATCTATGGAAATCAACAATTTAAAAAACACATGACCAAATGACCAACTTGAGACAAACAGTTCTTCTCTCCTCAACCTATTTCAACAGCCGAAACAACTGTAGTGTTAAGAGTTTAAAATAAATTTTGTGGAAGTTTCAAAACAAAGTTTTCAGTGTTTTTTTGTAACGTTATTAATCAATGTATAAACGTGAAGTCAAAATTTGTATCTCCTAATTATTGTGTAATTCTCAATTTATAATCTATCATGTTTTTCATTGGTGTAAATGTATTGATATAATTTTATTGTAAATAGTGGTATACATTAATTTTATACAATAATTTTCAAAAAACTTAATAACCTAATAAACTTAACCTTTTAAAATATACTGACCCTTTAAAATATACTGAAACTTTGAATGTAGACTAAAATAAAAATATGAACTTACCATAGTCCTTCTCATAGATAATAGCGATTTTTGTCCAATTTAAAAACTCCATGACATCCTGAAAAGCGGCATTGAGCAAATGTTGAGTAGGATGTAAATTGATAGAAAATTCTTTAATATCACTTTCAACATCAAGACGAGCTTCCAGATGTGGAATATCTAAAGCGTCACATATTGAATGGATGTGAGCTCCCAGTAACGGATCTGACGGACCGAAGATTGCATGGACACCATATTGAACCAGTTGGCAAGCTGAAAAAAAGAAGACATACTGGATCATTAACAATCGAAGTTTGTCAAAAGCTATTTTTCATTTAAATATTTTTAATACGTGTGTTATGCTGTTTTTAATATCTATAAGGTGATCCCGAATCTACGACAAAAGGACGCGGAAAACAGGACGCGAGACCAAAGGACGCGGAAGAAAGGACGCGCAAAAAAAGGACGCGCGAAAAAAGGACGCGTGGAAAAAAGGACGCATAATATTAATGAATTACTATAAATAGTTTATTTTAAATTGACATTAGCCATTACCACCCTTTTTATCCCCATATGTTATTACAGAAAATGATTCTACCTAACCTAAAATCGGTTTCGGTAAGAGTAAAAAGTGGAAAATAATTATATGAAAAAAACTTGCCCTCACATTTTATCGAGGCTTAGGACTAGAATATCTTAAGTAAAATAATAAATACTAATATAATGTTATTCAAGATTTCTGGTATTGAAACAGGTTAGATTCCATATTATCAGAATTATGTAAGGGATTAGAAAAACCCAAGTACCAGCCCAGTAAGGGGTCTAATGAGAGTTTAACGCAAACCGAAGGTTGGTAAATTCCGCAGGTAATGTTAAGAGTGTAAATAGAAACGATTAGTAAGAAAACAAAACTTTCTAATTGTTTGATAATTGTTTTTAAGAAATGAATATTACAAAAGGTCCGATATAACAAAAACATCATTAACCAAATTGTTTATATATTGGAAACTTGTAGCGGTAGGTAATTTATTCTGTTCTTAACAAGAAAACATTTTAAAAATTGACACGGCAAAAATTGAAGCAAAAGAAGCTTGTAACCGGATGAAAGAAGTTGCACAACAACTGGAACACTCCACCCAAGGTGTAGTAAGTGAAATTTCTCAAGGACTTTCCTTAGCGGCTACGGCACAACTTCCATCAGTGTCGTCGTTAAAAAAAAACTGTGCAAAGAGTTCGGAACAAGCTAGGAGGTACGCCCGCAAATCCGAGAAATTTAGAAGAACTTGTGCTTCCTGAAGAATATAAAACAACTACAGGCGGTGAGCTATTTCTATTATTTGATAGCGGGCCAGAAGAAGAACGTATTTTGTTATTTTCAACACAAAGAAATTTAAGATTTATGGAACAATGCGATCATTGGTATGCCGATGGAACATTTAACTCTGCACCACCATTGTTTTCTCAAATATACACAATTCATGGAGTGCGATACAGTAATGTAATCCCGACTGTATTTGCACTTCTACCGAACAAAACACAAGAGACTTATACACGTGTTTTTCAGCAACTAAAGGTGTTGAATCCGGCCTTGCGCCCTCTAACAATAATGATGGACTTTGAAAGAGCGGCAATGAATGCTGCACAAACTGTGTTCCCAAATGTGAGAATCCGCGGATGTTTTTTTCATTTCTCGCAGTGTATGTGGCGTCATATTCAAAGTGCCGGATTGCAACGTAGACATATTGAGAATCCTGACTTCGCCCTTCACTTAAGACAATTGACAGCTCTTGCGTTTGTTCCAGACAACCATGTAGTAGAGTGTACGAGGAGTTGCTCAATAGCGATTTTTATACACAAAATGAAGAACTACTAGTGCCTTGATTCATTACTTTAAAGACACTTGGATAGGGAGATTAGCTAGAAGAGGAAATCGAAGACAACCCCTTTTTCCAGCAAATGTATGGAATTGTTACGATTTGGCAGACCAAGATATACCTCGAACGAATACTGCTGTCGAAGGATGGCACAACAGCTTTTCTTCTCTTCTCAATAGTGCACATCCGAATATTTGGAAATTTATTAATTCTCTAAAAAGAGAATATAATTTAAATGTTTTGAAAATAGAGCAGTACATTTCGGGCAATGTACCTCCACGCAAAAGAAAATATCAAGATACAGCAAACAGGATAAGGGCTATTGTTGCCGATTATGCTGACAGGCCAACTTTAGAATATTTGAGAGGCATTGCTCACAATTTTCAGTTGCAAACATAAAAAAAATACAAAAAAATTAATATCAAAAATAAAACAAACAAAAATAAAATGACAAAAAAATTCCAAAAAAGCAAAAAATTAAAAAAAAATAAAAAAAAACTTGTAAACACGCCAGCTTCTGCTGCCAGTCCTAAGCCTGGATAAAGTGTGAAGGCAAGTTTTTTTCATATAAATATTTTTCACTTTTTACTTTTACCGTAACCGATTTTAGGTTAGGTAGAATCATTTTCTGTAATTATATATAGGGGATAAACGGGGGCAATTGCTATTGTCAATTAAAATAAACTATTTATAGTATTTCATTAATAATATGCGTCCTTTTTTTCACGCGTCCTTTTTTCCACGCGTTCTTTTTTCGCGCGTCCTTTTTTCCGCGTCCTTTTTTATGCGTCCTTTTTTTCGCGTCCTTTTGTCGGTATACCGGTGGTCCCAATAGAGATCCTGTCTGGGTAATATTCTGGCTTTTTTCTCTACTACTTTCCCTGAGAAAACCAAACCCTAACCTAATAATATTAAATCTTAACCTCAAATTTCTTCCCTATATCTCCATTATCTACTAACCCGCATAGGCTAGCGAGATAGGTTATTGGTCAAGAGTCTCGAAGCTACTAGACTTAATAAAAGGGTCAGGCTAGAGAATTTGATCTAGCACTAGAGGACCACAATAATAGATCTGAAAAGTTCATAGTAGAATAGGCCGAAAGGCAACATCTTTTAATCTAATGTAACGCCTTGAGTCTCCAGCAACATGGTCGGCAACAGGCGGACCGCGGTCCGGATTCGGACAGCGAGAGGTCTATTTTCATAATTTCCAGAATATCGTCTATCTTTACGTGAAAAGTAGCATCATCGTATATTAGTCACATTAGTTAGTCACTTAAAAGTTGTTAATATAGATAGGTTACAGTTCAGCCTTTATATCCTCTAATTAGAATGTTTCTTTTCTTTTATTGAAGGCGTTTTCTCTACGATTCTGTGGGATATTATGTAATAAATTACTTGCAATAAATATTAATATACTAGATTTATAGCTACGAAAGAGTTGATCATTTAAAAATAATTGTCTCTCCCAAAATGATTATTCCTAAATATAAAAAAATAAAAGCCATAATTTGACTACTTATTGGAAAAAAAGTTTAATCTTAAAACCCTCAACTAAACTTTCATAACTCTTGACAAAGAAAAGATATTACTAGAAGGATCGCAACTTAAGTTATAATTCCTTTAGGCTATAAGTTTTGGAGCCTAATTGATTGATGACACTCACTCACATTCTACCCACACGTAAACACGTCTAAAATAAATTCAAAAATTATACGGCATATGTCGTGTCGACTTTAACTCACCCTTTTTACTTGCATGGAAGCTGTCGTCTCGTGGAACATACTGGATGTCATACACGAGTGATGTATACGGGAGCAAAGTTTTGTCTTTGTTGATTTTGTTAACAGCATATTTGAAAGCCAACTCGTTGGGGCCATTTTTCTCGTCCTCTGTAAAAATTGCACCTGAAAATGAGAATGATACGTCAATCAAACTTGTCATGTAATAAAGAAAGTAATATTAAACATTTTTATCAACAATTGACTGAATTTTATTTAGATATAACATGGTTTATACCATAACTCTGTAGTACTTAATAAAAAACTATATTGGGATCAAATGGCGTCGATCGAAATAGACAATGGTCTGACAGCAGAATTGCCAATAAAAAGAGGAGTTCGTCAGGGCTGTGTACTTTCTCCAATGTGATTTAATAAATATTCCAAAAAAATCTTGCAAAATGCCCTCAAAAATATTGAAGAAGGAATAAAAATCAGGAGAATACGTCAACAACTTAAGATACGCAGACGACACCGTCATTATTGCGGACAGTGCTGAGGGTTAACAACGACTTTTGAATGTCATAACCAGAGAGGGAAGATAGCTTGGGACTAAATATAAACACAAATAAAACAAAAGTAGTGGCTGTTACACGTGCACCAAATGTCGACATTAATATTCGTATCTATAACAAACATATAGAACCAATACAAAGATTCCAGTATCTTGGATAACAAACGATTTTGACCACGAGGTCGAAATACGTGCTTGTATAGAGTAGGCTAGGTCCACATTTCAACGAATGAAAAAAATTCCTAATAAACTCTCCGTTATCGTTGGATATCCGGTACCAATTTGAAGAAACGTTTATTTATTCCATATTGCTATACAGAGTGGAAACATGGGCTCTCGGAATTACAAGTATGAGGCGTATAGAAGCCTTTGAGATGTGGGTTTGTCGAAGAATGGTGAAGATCTCTTGGACAGAGCACGTGGCCAACAACGAGGTGCTAAGAAGCATGAGTAATGAGAGAGAACTCCTAAATATTGAAAAAAAAAACGAATTATCTAAGACATATTCACAGAGGAGAAAAATACAGCTTCCTACTAGTTAAAATCGAAAAGAAAGTGGATGGAAGAAGTGGTCCAGGAAGAAGAAAATGCTCATGATTGAAAAATGTAAGAGTCTGGACAGGCACGGACACATATTTGATACTAAGAACAGCTCAAGATGGAGAGCAATTTTCTGTAGTTATAACCAACCTTCAGAATTGGAGAAGGCACCTTAAGAAGAAGTTATTTAGATATAAAATAAATCTTTCTCCTTGCATAGATGATCTCTCCGTAGATGATTTAATTTTTTTTGGAAATAGTTTGGAAAAACATAACCACAACATAGTAAAAGTATTAGAAATTGCTCTATTGGTAGATATTTTATTTGTTAGCCATTTCTTATATATTTGTATATATGTTTTCTGTTCCTAATACTTTATAAGCAATTTTTTTATTATCGTTATGAGGTTATTGTATTTTTGTTCTACATCCATATTTCTTTCTATCTAATTTAGCTTCTTTTCTAATCTAGATTGAAAAAGATGTTTAATACTTGGTTGAAATAAAAGGTGCAATTTATATCTCTTCGTTTTGTACTGTGCAGTATTGTTTCTCTCACTTTCGGTGTTCTATTTGTAGTATTGTTTAAAAGTAGTATTGTTAGATTATTTTTTTACTCTGCAGTCTTGGCATTTAAATTTTGGTTTCTGTCCTATTATTATATAGTCTATGATCTACTTCTGTTGAAGTGAAGGTCGTTCCCAAGTGTATTTATGAATATCTTTATGTTGCAATTGGGTATTGATTATTTTTACAACAAAAAGTTGACATAACTCAATTAAGCTGTCCCCTGAGACATTTTTAACTATTTCTCCATGCAGTCTTTCCACGTCATCGTCTTTTTGAGGACCTACTCTGGCATTTAGGTCTCCTAACAATATTATTTCTTGATGACTTTTTATTTCATTACAGATGTTTAATAACTGTTCATATAAGGAATCTTTAAACTTGTTGAATTTGAACATATTGTTTCGATGCCGTACAATGTGACAGTCATTGTCAAAATTCTTTTAGAGATGTACGCATAGTCTTATATATTTTTTTACGATTTTTTTATAAAAATTGAAACCTTTGATTTTTTTGAGAAAAATACATTTATTAAATGCATAAGTATACATAATTTGCATACTGTGTAGAAAACAAGAAAGCGGGAGCCACCAGCGATGCATGATAATTATTTTCAATAAATACAAAACTACAAACTTTAGAATTGTCTAATGGCAAAAAATCGTTTTAGTTTATTGTTATTACAGCATTAAAGGTGCTATAAATAACACCACAGCTTTCCGAACAAATAACAACCTAGGCAAATATATCAAAAACAACAAGAGCCAAAATAAAAAACAGTTACACAGTAGTGTGTATAAACTTAAATGTGGCGGCTGCCCAAAAACTTACATCGGTCAAACTGGTAGAAACTTTAATAAACGAATAGCAGAACATAAAAGGGTTTCAGTAATAAAAAAAACAGGTTCTACATACGCACTTAACCTTCTAGATTATAATCATTTTTTTAATGACGAATTTAAAATTCTTCACATTCAAAATAAAGGCTTTAAGCTATCCTTGTTAGAATCTATCGAAATCAACAAATTAAAAAACATAGATCTACTTCTGAATGACCAACTTGAGACAAATAGTTCTCCCCTCCTCAAACTATTTCATTAGAGTATATAAAGTGTAAAAGCATGCCAAAAATAGATCACTTGAGGAAGGCAATCAGCCGAAACAGCTGTAGTGATAAGGGGTTAAAATAAATTTTGTGGAAATTTGAAAACAAAGTTTTTAGTGTTTTATTGTTTATTATTAAATTATTCATTACAAGTAAACGTCTACAACTTGATCGTAAAAATGTACTTCATTGGATTTACTCAAAATACGAACGAATAAATTTAAATTTTAAATGTGGATAAGGGGTGAAATCTACATTCAAAGAATATTATAAAACATCCAATTATCGTCGTTTCTATTGTAGTTCACAGTTCGCACTCGTAGTGAATGTTCCCCGTTCTATTACCCAATGCGTCGCTACGCGTTGTCAATATCATATTCTCAAATTAACGCAATTCAAAATTTGGCTTATAACCCAGTCCATAATATATAGATATTTAAAATATACGCATGTTATAAACGGCAAAGAAAAGTTAACAGTTGATATTATTCTTGTCTTGGTGTTCTGCAAATTAATTTTATTGTTATTTTCGCTCATTAATTAGTTCATTTCATTCTTATTTTTATAAAAAAAAACTATCTAGTTTAGGTCACCTTAAACTTCTTAAAATGTTAAAGTTAATCTGGCCAAACCTCGATTGTAATTATGGCTATTTGAAACATGTGCAGAAGATTACATTGCCGCTAGCGATAAGCCGTTTTATTAAGTACCTATTTATTCTACGTAGCTATCTGATTTTTGAGAATCCATTAAATGTAATGTTACATTTTTGATGATCTAATGATTTCTGGGAATCCAATAAATGTAATGTTTAATTCGTATCGTTGTTGGAGATTACTTTCTCTTTACCTACCCTGATTAACTCATTAGAAACGAGTTCTCAGAGAGAAGTACGACTGGGTATATTTTAGTAGTGTAGTTTTTAATATAATCTTTTATTAGCTCTTACAAATGATAGATGCAGAATTAACGATTTCAAAATATCAAAATTTAATAGTTCCAGAACATTGAGTATTTTATCCCTGTGTGCGCAGGCAAGTAATGATAACGATATGCAGAGCCAGTTGAATTTAAATTAATTGTTGCTTTATAATCTATCTATCTACTCCTGTTTTCAAATTCAATGGTGAGATTTTCTACTAGTGTAAACTGAACGAAATGGGGGCGTTCAAAAAATACTTCTGATTTAAGCGAAATGATTAAAAGTACATAGATACAATGTATTAGAGAAACAATAATACTAAAGTATATTTAGACAGATATAAAAATTTGCAATGTAGAAAAGATAGTCTGCACACAATTTTCTTTAAGTACAACCACGATGACGAACTATGGAATTCTTTAATCTAAAAAAGTCATCCAGATTACTCATAATATACGAGAAGTGCTACTTAAACCTGCCTACAAAGAACAGGCAAAAATTCAAATGGCCAAAAAGAAAGATTTAGTATACTTATGCCATTCGGGTATGATATCAGAAGTCCACCACAGTTTTTATAAAAATATTTTGCTCAAGATAATATACGAGAAGAGAACAACTAACAGAAAATGTGTCTACACTTTTTACAATTTTTTCCGTGCAAAAGTGTTGTAGCTTTAAAATTCCTAATTTATTTAGCATTAATATTATTTTATTTAAATTTCTATTATTCGTTAATGTAAAATAGGCTAAAAAGCATGCAAAATCATAGTTAAATGTTAATTTTTCTTAAAACTTGTGTCTTATTTCACTGATATTAGCACAAAAATAAACAAATCGTCTTTATTTCGAAACTTACTTATTCTGACTTACTGCAGTCTTGCACTGAGAGTGCGATATAATCAATCTCCATAAGAAAGTTAAAGAATTAGCAGGGGTAGCAAAACAAAAAAACCTCAAGCTATTGGACAAACAATAGTGACATTTTAGTGAAGACGGAACAAAAATTAGCCAAATGGAAAGAGGAATTATTGCATGACCAGAGACAGGAAAATATATATGAAGATAATCAGAGTAAAGTCCATGAAAAATAATCAAGCTGTTGGTCCAGATGAAATAGCAAGTGAATTGCTAAAACTGGTCAGTTAAAAAAATAAAAATCTTTTAGTCCAACTACTGAACACAATCTATTCCACAGAAATCACTCCACGTGAAATACTGACATCAACATTTATTTGTCTACCAAAGAAAGTAAATGCCAAAGAATGCCTAAGTGATTATCGAACGATCAGTATAATGTCACATACCTCAAAAACCTTGCTAAAAATCATCCATAATAGAATACACGCTAAGCTGGAGATGGATATTAGTGATTCCAGTTTGTATTTCGGAATGGAGTGGGCACAAGAGAGGCACTATTTTCTTTTAACGTGCTGACCAAAAATGTTTGGATGTTAATTGAGATCTTAGTATGATTTATA